GCCATCCTGGTTCAACGCCCGGGATTACTCCCAGGCCATCCGGTGTTTTGGATGTAAGCAGTTAGGGCACAAGAGACCAGAATGCCCACTGAACAACGCTAACCAGGCACAGTCATGGAGAAGACCAGCCGGCGGGAATCAGCGCCCACCCCCAGCCTGCTGCTCACTGTATCGAGCAGGAGGAATTTTGGGGCTTCTTACATGAGGCAGATCCTGTCCAAGCCGCTCACCAGGACAACCGACAGCAACACCGACAAACTGTCAAGCTGAATGGAAGAGTAGTCCGCGGATTGCTTGATACCAGGGCTACTATGACCCTGCTCCAAAAGAACTTGGTCTCGGAACACCAACATACTGGAGACACTGTGGCAGTGAGAGTAGCAGGGGGCGCTGTGTTCCGTCTGCCTGTTGCCCGGGTTCATTTGGATTGGGGAGTGGGCGCTAGACACGATGTGGGGGTTATGAAACAAACCCGCTGATGTCATCCTTGGGAACGATTTGGCCCCTCTGGTTTCTGCATATGCTCCGATGGGCCCCGCTGACGTTAACCCTGTGACTACCCGTGCTCAGACCCGTGCTACTGGAACCGGCTCGTCTGCTGCTGAGACCCAGGTAAGACTCGCTTCCCCGACTTGTACCCTAGATCAGGCCCCTTTAAGCTGGGATATCCCAGAGGAGTTTGGGAGGGAAACCCGGGCGGACCAGACTCTACAGAAGTACAGGGATAGAGCAGATGCTGGAGAGGAAGGAGTAGATGGGAAATGGTATGAGTGGGTGGGGGACAGGCTGTATAGGATTCCTAAACCTTCCCAGAAAAGTGTTGCCCCTCCATCGAATCGGCAGCTGGTGGTACCTGCGAAATACCGGCAGGAGATTTTGCGGATAGGGCAAGATGTGCCGCTAGCTGGACATCTAGGTTCTCGCCGCACGGCTTATAGGATCACCCAGAACTTCTTTTGGCCCAATTTTAATCAGGCTGTGCGGGTATACTGTAGTACGTGTGACATGTCAACAGGTAGGAAAAGGGGGGGACCACCCTAAATCTAGGCTATTGTCTATGCCTATTATAGGAGAACCCTTTTCCCGCATAGCCGTTGACATTGTGGGTCCACTGGCCAGGGCTAGTCCATCCGGTAAGAAGTATATTCTCACTGTGGTGGACTACATCACTCGCTATCCAAATGCAGTAGCGCTGTCTAATAGAGAGGCAGAGACTGTTGCTGATGCCATGGTTAGGATTTTTACTAGGGTCGGTTCTGTAAGGAGATTCTCTCCGACCAGAGAACCCAATTTACCGCTGTGCGGCATCAAACCACTGCTTAGCTCACCTTATCACCCACAGACTAACAGTCTCTACGAGCGCTTTAATGGCACCCTCAAGCAGATGCTGAGGACCTTTACGGACACTTGCCGAGACTGGGAGAGGTTCCTGCCTCATCTGTTATTTTCCTACAGAGTGGTGCCCCAGGAATCTACTGGGTTCTCCCCCTTTGAGTGGCTTTATGGGAGAAGGGTCCGCGGACCCCTGGATCTCATTAGAGGCCACTGGGAGGGGGAGACAGAGCAGGAAGGGATCCCCATAGTGCCGTACGATCTGGAACTCCGGGACCGCATGGAGAAACTGTCTCTGATGGTAAGAGAGAATCTCCAGGCGGCCCAGAGGAGACAGAAGAGGTGGTACGATCGGGGTGCCCGGCAGCGGGTCTTCCAGGTTGGGCAGAAAGTATTGGTGCTCAAGCCTGTGAAGGCGAACAAGATGCAAGCGTCTTGGCAGGGCCCGTATAAAGTAGTAGCTCAGGTATGTAATACTACCTACCTTATAGCCAGCTGTGCAGATGAAAGGATTCAGCGATCCTTTCATGTGAACATGCTGAAAGAGTATCAGGAGAGACCAGAGGATGTCGCTGCAGTATGCGCTCCGGCTGCAGATGACCCTGTTAATCTACCCCTTCCCGATTTGCTAGAAAGGGACCCCCAGACTGACCTTACAAACCTTGTACCGTTAGGGAACAGGTTAAATCCCACAGAAAAGGTACAGGCAAAGCAGCTGCTGTGGGAGAAGCAGGCGACGTTCTCCCAGGAGCCGGGCTACACTACCCTAGCTGTACATAAGGTAGAGACCCCTGGACAGCCCCCCTATCGTATCCCTGAAGCAGTCCGAGAAGGAATGCGGAAGGAGATACAGGAGATGACCCAGCTTGGGGTCATCGAACACTCCGACAGCCCTTGGGCCTCGTCTGTACTTCTGGTACCAAAGAAAGATGGAACCACCCGGTTCTGTGTGGACTACAGGCGACTCAACGAGCAGACCACCACTGACGCCTACCCGATGCACCGGGTAGACGAATTGTTAGACCGTATTGCCAGGGGGTGCTATCTGACCGCCATAGACCTATGTAAAGGCTAATGGCAGATCCCCCTGGCTGAGTATGCAATCCCCAAGTCGGCATTCATCACCCCGTTTGGCCTGTACCAATTTAAGGCCATGCCCTTCGGCATGAAGAATTCCCCGGCTACCTTCCAGCGGAGGGTGGATAGGCTCCTCGATGGCTTCCAGGAATTTGTGCATACCTGGATGACATTGCGATCTACAGTGGGTCCTGGGAGGAACACCTGGTACATGTGGGGGTAGTGCTGGATAAGATTCAGGCCACAGGCCTGACATTGAAGCCTGAGAAGTGCCATCTAGGTATGGCTGAAGTACAGTACCTGGGTCACAGAGTGGGGTGTGGGAGCCAGAGACCAGAGCCAGCCAAGGTAGAGACAGCGGCTAAATGGCCCACAACTACCACTAAGACCCAGGTGTTAGCCTTCTTGAGGACGGCAGAGTACTACAGACGTTTTGTCCCTGACTACAGTACTGTCGCCAAGCCCCTGACTGACCTGACGAAAAAGAATTTGCCGAAGCAGGTCCTGTGGTCTACAACTTGTGAAGCCATGTTTCAAGCACTGAAGCAGGCTCTTGTGAATGCCCCTGTCCTGGCTGCCCCAGTCCATAACAATTATGCGGCAGTGGAGAAAGAATGTTTGGCCTTGGTCTGGGCATTAAAGAAGTTGAGCCCCTATTTACACGGACAGGAATTTTCCCTTGTGACAGACCACAATCCCCTTGTCTGGCTCAATGGTAGACTGCTGCGGTGGAGTTTAGCCTTACAACCGTATAACTTCACCATCAGCTACCGACCCGCTAAGCAGAAGGGGAATGCGGATGGATTGTCCCGGCAAACCGACATCCCTACCACCTCCTAGTCCGGTCATCCCCAAGTTGACCCGCCAAAGGGTCAAGCCGGGTCTGCCGGAGTGTCCCACAAGGAGGGAGCCGTGTGACAGATCCATCTGTATGACTGGTGTGGCTGATTCATCTAGTTTGCCTCCCTTCGCGGAATTGCCTGTCCGTATGCCCCTATTCGTCTTTTCGGACTTATACCGAATGAAACTACCGAACGGACGGCCACCCAGAAGAGAAGTGTGCTGCTGGTTAACCTCTTGGGCCCCAATTAGAACGTTGTGGTTAACCGCAGACACCCCTTAATTATAACCGAATGCAGGGTGGTCGGCGTTCGTATGCCGACCACGAGGCGACTGCCATTTTAAAACACGCAAAAGACCAGGAATATGCACTCAGATCCAGGCTATCTGGGGATACGTTGCACGAATATAATATGTTCAGTATTTGTACAATTACTTATTTTTATGTATTGTTAATGTTTAATTTAAAATGGCGATTTGCCTCAGTCCTGGGAGATAATTGAATTACTTCTCAATTATCTCCAGGGCAGAGGGGAGGAAGCCAGAATGCATTGTGGGAATATTCTGTGACTGTATGTCCTAAACTTATACATGTCTGTCCGTGGTTACAGTCTCCCATTTGGTCCCCTAGGGGAGTGTCCACCAAGTGGGAGACCTGCATAAATACGGGCGGGTAGCCCACAGTAAAGCCAGTTCTTGTTTTACCCGAAAATGCGGAGCTTGGTCTCGTTATTGGGGGGGGGTTTACTACACACGGTTAGCGACTGATTGCTGGAAACATAAGCCGCTTGGAGATTAAATTTGTTCGGCGGTTAGCTGTGATTCGTGGATTTATTGCGTTTGAGGTCTACACGAATTGAGCCTGTATTACTAAAGAGGGGAAGCTCAACTAAACGGCGTTTTCACTCCTCTGTGCCAGTGGTGTCTTAAGCTCCAACATTCCGCAGCGTTTTACAATTATGAAATTAGCATATCTGGCAAGTAATTCGTATACTGAATATAACAGAGACAAGAGGTACAGAAGGCCCTGCTCGAATGTGCTTACTGTCGGAGAGGGAGGCAAGGGAACCAAAGAGAGCGAGCTTGGCTATATAGGAGAGGGAGGAGAGGGAGGGAGAGGGAGGGAGGGGAGAGGGGAGAGGGAGGGAGAGGGGAGAGGGGGAGAGGGGGAGAGGGGTTTGATTAGGACAAATCTCTGGGCCCCGATGGAAAGCTGGCTTATCACGGTTTGATTTTTGGAAACGGTCAAATTTATAATCCAATCTAGGCAGAGTGCAGGGTATTTTTCTGCACAGTAACCTTTCCAGTTATGTTAGTTGTTTTGGTGCTTAAAAGCCCTTTAATTCTGACCCTTCATTCCATGTAAATCACTGTGAATGTTTAGATGAAGAGATATGATTACCTGTCCTTTGTAAACTAGACTGGGCACAAACCCACAGCAGGGAGGATACTGCAGGGACCAGAGTGTGGGAGTGCATTCCAGGAATACAGAGATTCCTTGATCCTAAGAACAGGACGTTTGTTTCCTATTTAAACCACTGTCATTGCATTCTGTGAAACACTGCGCAAATCACACACACACACACACACAGCGCAAATCACACACACACAGCGCAAATCACACACACAGCGCAAATCACACACACACACA